ATGGCGCGGGCGGACACGGGCCGCGGGCTCCTGGCGCTGACCTTCTGCCTGCTGTCCGCGCGCGGTAAGGGCCCGGGTGGCCGCAGTCGCTAGTGGGCGTCCCCAGCGCCCGCGATGTTTGCACGCCGGGGCTGCGGGGACTTGCCCGCAGGGGGTGTGTGTCCTTGCTGTGTCCGTGCGTGTCCCCCTGCGCGTGGACCTTGTGTGTGTGAGGTGTACGTGTCTGTGTGTCGGGGTGGGGGTGTCCTGCGGGAGAATGTGTCCACAGCGAGTGCCTAAGGCGCCGGGTGGCATCGCCGGCGCGCGGGTGGCTGCGGCGCTGGTAGCTCTAAGCGGGGCATGCTTCTGCCCTGCCCGCACGCGTCTCGCGGTCGCGAGTGTGCCTGAGAGAGCAGGCGGGGCGGGAGTGTGCTCTTACACCTCCATTTGTGTCGGGTGCGTGTGTAACTGGATGCGGCTGAGCTAATATTTGGCCTTGGCTTTTGGGGAGTGTCCTTGCTCGTGGTGGGGGCGGCGGTGAGAAAAACCACACTCAACTTTGCCCAGTGGGTGTGGCCCCTGGGGCCAGCTAGAGCGGTAGGGGAATATGGGGTTGTGGACCCAGACCTGGGGTTCGGAGGAGGTGGGGGAAGGGCAGGAAACCAGTTGCTTTAGTGAACGGACCCAACATTTGGTCTCTGGATGGGACGCGTGTCACTCCTGCCCCACCCCAAAGGGCGGACAGGAGAAGCGTGGACGAGGTCAGCAAGGCCCCCACCAGTCTCCGGGTCCTAGCGTAGGGTAGGGTCAGGGGTAAAGATCACAATTGCACACACCGGAGAAAGGGCTGGGAGGGAGTAACGAAGTGTCCAAGTGTGTATGCCAGAGCTGCTTCTGCCACCCCTGGGCCCTCTGATTCTCAGTGGGATGTGCGTTTGCGGGGCAACCCAAGGGAGGTTAGGTGGTAGGGCCGCGAGGGGGATGGGCTGCCCGCTTTGTTCGATTACTTCTTGCCTTCCCTGCCGGGGAGGGAGTTGAGGATGTGTCCGGGGCGAGTCGGGGAGGGACTTGGCAGTGGGGGTGGGGAGGGGGATTTTTCTCCAGCTGCTGCGGCTTTCCAGAGAGACTGGGCCAGGCCACGTGGGAGGGAGGCAGGGAGGGCGGCGGGAGTGGGCTGGGGGGGGGGGGGGAAGGAGCCTCGCCGGGCCAACCCCAGGCCCATCTCCAGGAAAACAGCGTGTGGGAGAGTGCTGGAAACAGCTCGGACCCTAGCTCGCCCAGCCAGACACGCCCCTTTCCCTCTGAGACCGTGGACCCGGCTGGAAGCCGGTGGTGACCTCTCGGTGCGTGGGGCTGGCTGGGTCGCAGAAACTAGGGGCCCGGGAGTTGTCAGGTGAATGTGGCGCGGGCAAATGTCAGAGAGGTGGCTATCTTCCTGGAGCCCAAAGGATTAGGAATAGTTGCAGCTGTGTGTCCCCTCCTCTTCCTACTCTTCCCAAAGCTTCAGGAACGCGGGATCCTGGCTGGCAATCGCACTCGCATTTTATTAAATACTTCTGAGGCCTCGGGCCGGAGCACCGGAGAAAGTCTGGAGACTGGCCTTTCCCTGCTCCCCACTACATAGGCAGAGAGTAGCGTGCATTGGGAGTCTTCATGGCCATCTGAATGACTAACAGCAAACTACTATTCTTGCCCTGGCTTAACCTCCTTTGAGTGTGTAAACCTCTGCAGTCTGTGGACACCCCTTTAGGGTAGAGGTCATCCATTCTTTCACAGTGTTTGTTGGGCTCTCTTTATAGGTTAACGTTTGCCTGATGCCCAGTATGTTGCAAACAAGATCCTAGCTGCAGGCTGCCAGTCTTAGTGTCAGGGTCGGAGGCCAGGATTGGCAAGGTGCTGCGGAAGAGAGGCTCCTGAGCCATACTGGGAAGATCAGAAAAGGTTCTGAAGAAATTGATGGAGAGAGGAAGAGCCAGCCCCGCAGAGGGAGGAGTCTTCCGGATCAAGCAGGGGGTGCCAATACTGGGAGGAGATTTAGTTCACATCATTGCATCAAGCTAAATCTGGCTGGCGGTTAGAACGGGGTGGGAGTTGGGCAGATGGGGGAGGGGCAGGCTACTAGCGTGTCAAGAGAGGAGGCTAAGGAAGGAACTGGTCCCAGCTCGCAAAGAGCAGTGTTAGTCCCACCAAGTCTGGCCTGAGACCCTCCTACCCCACTATGGGCAGGTTTTCAAACTAGCTTTGCATCAGCTCACTGTAGCCCCTGTGGAGGATGGATGGTACAGGGCTAGGCAAGAAGCCCTCCTCGGGAGGAGGTGGGGATACAGGAGGCAGTGGTGGCAGCTAGTGGCTTGCATGGCCAGATGCACTGGATTCTAGAGGTACTAAGGAAATGGAATTGGAAGGGTGTGAGCATAGATCAGTGGGTTTTTCTTTGTTATCAGTTTTGTATATGTGTATGGGCATTTTGCCTGCAAATATGTCTGTGCACCACATGTGTGCCCAGTGCCTGTGGAAACCAGATGACAGTGTCAGATTCCTTGGAACTGGAGCTACAGATGATTGTGAGTCATCATGTGGATGCTGGGAGCTTAACCCAGGTCCTCTGGAAGAGTAGCCAGTGCTTTTAACCACTGAGCCATCTCTCCCGCACCTATAGATATGGTTTATTAGTAGTAAGGAAGAAAATCAAACATAATAGTCTTCCCAGAAAAGTCAGTATGGGCCAGAATGAAGGGTTGGGTTAGGACGACGGCAGCACCTGCCCAGTCCTCTGTCCTTGCCTATGGGTCAGAGGTTGTGGCTGTGAGCTCATAGGAATAAGATTTCCATCTGAGGGCAGTGGCAAGAAGCTGAGTTCTTTTACCATATGAAGGAGTGGGGCTCCCCCTTCCACTCAAGTTAGAATTGAGGGCTTGGGGGACCCAGAGAGCTCTGAGAACATAGGTGAGTTTACCCCATCTGGAAAACCTCCTCCCTGCCATCCCTTTCTCAACCTTGAGACTCAGGCCCTTCCTAGAGGTCAACACTAGAAGCTTTTTGTTTGTTTGTTTTGAGTCAGGGTTGTAGCCCTGGCTGTCCTGGGACTTGCTCTGTAGACCAGGCTGGCCTGGAACTCAAGAGATCTGCCTGCCTCTGCTTTCTGAGTGCTGGGACTAAAGATTAGATTAGGAAGCTTCTTTTGATAGTGATTCTTGCAGGAAATTTACCTATTACCTTAAGCTGAACCTGTGTGTGTTACCATGGCCTCATTAATCACGTTTATATATGGATAGTTTCCTGACAGTATCTCCTTCAAGCTAAGAAATCTCATGATATCATGTAATGTCAGCACTCAAAGAAACATGGGAAACTAGGCATTGTGGTGCCTCTTTGTAACCTAGTGCTTGAAAGACTGAGGCAGAAGGATTGCTGTGAGTTAAGTGCCAGCCTGGGCTACATAGCGACTCGAGTTGCTCCCGTCAAAAAAGAGAAAGTAAAAAAAGAATTTATTGTGAGCCCATTTTACAAGACAAGAAACCTATGTGGCTTCCCGAAGTTACTCAGTGAGAAATTGATCTTGGGCCCTAGCAGTCTTCTGGCTCCTCTTTGTAAGGCCGCCCAGTCACTCTTCCCAGGGATCTGGGAACATAGCAAGTCCACCCCTCTGCACTTCTTCCGTAAGACAGGTTAGCCCCTTTAGACCTGAATCTTCTCTCTGGTTGGTCCGAGGATGTGGAATTCTTTTGCTCATCTCCTGTTCCCTCCATGGTCTCTGAGGTACAGCAACCAGACTTGGAATTCCAGATGCAGAACATATGTGGCTGCCAGACAGGCCTGGGGCTCCCAGGAGGGCAGGGGGAAGAATGAGGGGCTCTATGGAGAAGTTGATGGAATGGGAAATGGGGTTCAGGAAGGAAAGCCAGAAAGGCTACCCTGGGGTCCTGCATTCTCCTCTGGGCTAGGCCAGCTGAGGACTCCTATAGCTGTAGAGGAACCATGGGGTCATTGGGGTCAAGGAAGCCAAGAGCCAATAAGCTTTCTCCCAGGTGCATGTCAGGACTTCTGATCTCCTAATAGGGGTCTCTTACTTTACACGACCTTGTTAAATAGTTCTGAGAACAGAGCTATGGCACCCATCAACAGTTCATATGCAGAGACAGCGTGGACTCAGAAGAAATCCTTTTTTTTTCCCCTTAAAGATTTATTTGTTTATTATGTACACAGTGTTCAGCCTGTGTGTATACCTACACACAAGAAGAGGGCCCCAGATCTCACAATAGATGGTTTTGAGCCATCATGGGGTTGCTGGGAATTGAACTCAGGACCTCTGGAAGAGCAGTCAGTGCTCTTAACTTCTGAGCCACCTCTCCAGCCCAGAAGAAATACTTTTAAGCATATGAGACGTATAGCAGAACCAGCAAGCTAAAGGATTCCCTGCCCTAATTATATTTAGACAAAGTTTTACTATGAATTTGCTGTTCTGTTTCTGTGTGGTTTTAGTTTGCTTGTTTCAGACAGGTCCATTGTAGCCCAGGCTGGCCTTGAACTTACTATATAGCTTTGAACTTCTGATTTTTCTGCCTCTACCCTCTGAGTGTTGGGAGTACAGGATTTACCAACACATATAGTTTATACAGTGTTGGGACTAAATCCAGGGTTTCAGGCATACTAGGTAAGCATTCTACCAGATGAACATATCCCAAGCCCTCAGTCTAGGTGGCTTTAAAGCATTTTATTAGGTGTCTAGAGGCTACATAATATACCAGGCAGTTTCTGTCTGTATTATTCAGATTGTCCCTAACTCTGAAGGGATTTACTGTATTTTCACAGATAACAAAGCCATGGCTTGGACAGGCATAAGGATAGAATTCTCTATTATTTGAGAGGGTCTGCATGTCTACACAGCTACTTAAGTAGAGGATCTACTCGACACAAGACACTGTTATAGATGCTAAAGCCTAAAGGACAACTCGGATATAACCCTAAGAGATTGTTAAAGACAAGCCAAAAACAGGGCCAGGGTTGTTGCTCAGTTGGTAGAGTGCTTTGCCCAGCATGCAACTGGCCCTGTGATCCAACCTGTAATCCCAGCACTTGGGAGGT